ACGGCTTGATCGGTCAATCTATTATATCTACATCTATACTTATATCTATACAATGTCGGCGATCTATTTTCCCTAAGTGATTTGCGTTGTCCACCCGTAACTTATTTTTTATTATTTGAACATCTTTTATTTTTATTTAATATGCCATTGAAAATACATACAACAACAACAAAATACAACCCAAAAATTTCACCCCTCTATCGCCAACCCTTATTTTTAAATAGCGATTTTTATTTTATATGGCAAATCAACGTTAAGATATAAAATAATCTACTTGGTTTTAAGCTGTCCTTAATTAAGTTTTATTATAATAAAAGTAAAGTATCTAAGTTAGGTATACTGAAAATGTTATTATTGGAGCATAAATCGTAATTTGATATTATACAGCCTATAGCCTTTCCCGATGAATGGGCTATACAAGAATAAAATACTTTTTCAATTGGAACCAGTAGGCCTTTAGATTATCTCGTTAAACCAAACAAACTCTTCAGCATTATCCATATTTAATTAAATATAATATAGCTTTAACAATAATTAAGATTGTTAAATTCTATAATAAAGTAGGTCATAAAACACGAACCCGTATAGATGTACATTCTGTAGAGTCAGAACTATGTTATTTAAATATTAATGTAATACTTTAATTTTTAATCTACATAAATATTATTGTTATATAAATATTTTCAAATAATAATTCATTTTTTAAACAAAGAGGCCATACGAAACATCATACATACGGCCCTATCTATTCAACATCATAAGCAAACCAAGTTATAATCTTTAGCTGTAAATTCTACGAGAACACAATACACGTATACCCGATACTATCATCCCTTTATGTGCTTAATGAAATATAAACACAGCACAATGGAATAGAAATACAATAGATGAACGCATCGTTAGTGGAGCGAGATTTATCCGAGAATTATTAGGGATTGGGAATCTAGCCGTAACTTACGATGTTCATCCTGCTGTCTGCAGCATATGTGAAGTGGGAGGGTAAAATGTTGCTCGCTGCATTTCGCCACTTTATACGGCAATTATGTTATCTACTTCATCTAAACAACCTACAAAATTTAGTAGAGGGCACATTAGTGCATAATACATTGGGTTTTTGGATTTATATCGTAGGATACTTTAACTACACAATGGAATTCTAATATGGAATAGCATCGCAATTTCATAACTAACACTTATACGATTATTCTTATTAGGTAAATTAACAAGTACATATAATTTCGCTGGAATGTAAATAATGAAATAATTAAAACTAGTTTAGCTAGTATTCTAACATATTCCTCTGATACTTATTCGTTTTTTAGTTCTAATAGTTATTATTTTAGTATGAGAACTTAAATAAGTACTTATCGGAGGACTAAGGAGTCTGGTAATAAACTGTAATACAGTTTGGGGGCAGAAATAGGTGAGACTGAGATACGCAGACAACTCTGTACAAAGTCAACATTAGCCATCTACTGTATTGGATACACAATGTGATAAGTGGATTCCTTAATCACATTGTGTATCTAATAATAAAATATATATTAAAAAATAATATCTCTGCTAGTATACTCATACTTAGTAATATCACAGATAACATAATGTAATATATTAACATTGCATACAGCTATGACGCGCTCGTCATCCTGCTGCGGCTACGCGCCGTGCATTATTGTGTATCTGTGGCGCTTTACATTTGAGCGGGAAAATTAAAAAGACTTCTTCTGCAGACATTACCGATTTTTTTCATTGTTGTTTCATTCTATTCTATATACTTTTTAATGTCTGTTACAAACTTAAATACTGTTTTTTTTTTCTTAGCTGAAATGTTAGTAGGTGTGAGATGTTACCTACTAAGAAAACAAAAACATCTCAGATATTTAGTGGTCCTTTTCTATAAGAACAAATGCTATATCTGCTATTGTCTCTGGTATGTGTATGTAAGTGTATATACAAGACATAGTGAAAACAATTACAAATGGTATTACACGCCATTTTAGCACCGCACCTTAGCCGCACATGTGTGCAGTCTTTATTAGTGCGGTGCCAACAAATAGCCCAGTTTACTAGTCTGCACTCGTACACGCGGTATGCCACTGTTACATTTCGAACCAACTCGGTGATTATCTTATCACATAAAAGAAATATATTTCCTTTCAGTTATACGTTTTGATGTATAACAACTACAAAAATAATATCTAAGCATAGAATTATAGGTTTAGTTTAAAAATATATTTTTCTAACAGCATAGCTGTGTGTTATGAACATACCTATTGGACTGGCGTATACTTTTAATTTGCACAAATGTCCTTAAATAAAAAAATTATATACATATATAAATAGTAATTACAAAACAAATTATATTTTTATAGGTTTAATACGTAACTTGTAAATTTAAACTATTAAATTAAAAAAGCAAATAATAATCATTTAACCTTTTTTTCTCGACTGAATTCGACTTCAATTTGTTTGTTTGTACTGGATAACATTATTTTTAATAGACATAGGATAATTCAATATGACCAGTAAAAAAATACACCGTTAATCTACCTAAAATAAATAAATATATAAAATAATACTTGACTTTGTTTTAAATATTTGACCGCAATATCTCTTATTATTCAATGAAAATATTTATTTAAGGTAATATACGCAATACTAAACAGTAAAAATCAGTTTTCTTTTCAGGCTTCAAATACTCTATGTTATAGTATTAAGAGGCGGAAAACACTAACATATTAGTTAGCTTCTAGTAGAACTAGTAGAGTTCCTTTGCTGTCTGTATAAGAAAAAGAACTTCAAAGTGCAAGTATATCAATCTAGATTATATTATATACATGCTATTTTTATACATGGACTATCTTTATATATATATAATATTGTGGAATAAAGCTAGTATGAATATATTGTTTATAGCATATAATAGCCCATCTACATCATATAGCTGGTAAGTCAAAATGAAAACTAAAGCTATTGAGTCAAAACAATATATGATTGTCCTATCCCTATCCTGACTAGAGCCCTCAGTGGTCACTGCAAATTATAACGCATAAACACAGTGCAAATCTAGGCATAAAGAAAGTATCATTTAGAAAGTACATACTCCATCCTGAGGAGATAAAAACTATCGGTCTTAAGAATATTCTTCAAATATTTTACCATAACGGGCCCAGATAGTGAACACTAAAAAAGCAATACTAAGTTCTCTTTAGCACCCAACCCTGTAATAAAAATTAAAAAAGCTAAGATTTCCATAATGACCAAATACAACACGGCCTTCTAGCTTCATGTGAAGTATTGTTACTCTACGACAAGGAATGTACAGACTCATAATATCCTTAGCAATTTGAGTGATAAACGCGTTAGCGGGTGTTGCCACCTCATCACCCATCGGCCATTTTGTTAATGCATAGCTCAAGGAACGTTCGAAACGACGTGAGCCCCTTTGTCTGCAAAACGATGGCAATTCGCGACATGCTCCATTTATGGTGGTTTACAAAACTATGTGTGTTATTCGAATGCCAACGAAAAGAGGATATTATTTTTAACATATTTCTATATTCTTTGTATATACACACACGTTTCTGTATCTGTACTTACTGTTAAAAAAAATATATAAGAAAGTTTTAGTGTCTGAAATAAGCTGAGTTTATTCCCATGTGTACGAATATATGTACGTATGTATATACATATATTATTATTGGCGACGCAAATCACGTTTAGTGTAGAGGCCATTGTAAAAATGTACACAACAATATTATTATTGAAAGGTTCCATTACTGTATGATAAAGATTTTTGATTAAATATTGTCTAATTTGGAAATGATTAATTAGTTATTTTTAAACAAATATTATTGTTATTAATTACCACTTACTGATACGTCACTATTAATTTTTCATTATGGAGTACTCAATTTACAAAAATTATTAGGAAGAAAATGCGTTAGTAACGAAACTGCTATTTCTTTTTCGTCGTTTGTACGTACATACTTACTTTTATTTACAGTCTTTTCTCTTCTATGTTTATTTTGACAATTTTGATTGAGAGAGATTAATAAAAAAGAACTATCAATATATTGTTTAAATTTAAAAATATTACAGGCAGTAGTGCGATAAAATAATAAATTGTTTACATTTTAATGCACGTAACTGTACCAGACTAGACTATTGGCGGTCAAAAGGTGACAAATAATAATTTAAGCTCCGTCTGCGAATTGTAGTAATCAATAAATAAAAGTGCTTAAACAAACAATTATATTAAGCACTTCAACAGCCAGCGGCAGATAGTTTATTTTTGAAAGTATCGTGTTTTAGTAATTTATTACCACTGACATATTGACCCTAAAGGTCACGAGATCGATAAAATGAACTTTGCGACTATATATTTATATTTCAAACTAACTACTCTTCGATGGTAAACGTTGTTAACAAACCAAATTATCTGAGAGACGCTGGGTGGCTCGATTCACAATCCGAAACCTTTACTGAAATTTAAAACATTTACCACATAAATTAATTATTTATGTATTTATATATTTACAATATTAATGTAATTATGTGTACAACTGATGATTAATGGCATTATCTACGTAGTTTCCATTTACTATATAATTGGAATTTCAAACAAGCTAACAGCTCACCTGATGGTAAATGGTAATCGTCACCTATGTACATGAACAGCACCAGCACTCATGTTAAATCATTCTAGAGGACTTATATGTTATATCATAATCTTACCCTTCAACCAAAAAACATCTTATAAAGCAATCTGGTTGGCGGCTGAAATACGTACAATGTGGGTAATTGTATTATGAATATTATGTGGGTACTGTATTGCATGTTCCTTTATTAAACAGTCTCAATCAAAACGTCTTTCTGTTAGCACCTTGGTCCTGCACCTTGACATGGCGCAGCCGGTATTAAAATAAATATATATATAAATAAAATTGGTAAAAGTGTATTTTGAAAGTATATACATACAATTGGAGAAGAAGAAAAAAGATAATAATTACGTGCAAAATGGAATCTGTTTTACAACCACCACAACCGTTTCTTTTTGAAAATGACCTTGTAAATGTCACATCTGGAAATTTAAGCAGAGAATGGGAGAAGTGGAAAAAATCATTTTTAATATACTTCGAAGCTTGTGAATTATCGAAAAAAGAAAAAAAGGTACAGATTAATATTTTGTTGCATATAATTGGAGAAAAATGTCGTGAGATATACGACCAGTTCACAGAAACATTCAAGACTATTGAGGAGGTGATTCAAAAATTTGATGATTTCTTTTTACCTAAGAAGAATCTAACAATAGAGCGACATAGATTTTTCACTCGGAACCAGCAAGATACGGAGACGGTTACGCAATATGTTTTTGAATTGAATAAAATGGCGGCTAAGTGTGAATTCAAAGATTTATGTAGCGATCTTGTACGCGATAGATTAATATGTGGAATAAAAGATGCAGCAATGAGAGAAAGATTATTGCGTGAATATAATTTAACATTAGAAAAGGCGGTAGACATATGTAGATTGGCGGAAGTTTCACATGCGCAAGCTGAGCATATTGAAACGAAAAATCCTGAATATCATGTACATGATGTGAAGAATAATAATAACGAACATTGGAGGGAACGGACTGATATTCACTGGATAAATCGTGGATCTTCAAGAACCAGAGCCAACCGGGGTGTACGGCGGATTCCTTCAGATCGTAGGTCGGGTCACGTACCGACTTCATCTCATGGCGTGAAAACGAATCGGTTTTCGTCGAACAGTGAGTGTAATAGATGTGGTCGCATCCATAATAGGTACAAATGCCCTGCATATGGACAGAAGTGTAACAAGTGTAGCCGCATGAATCATTTCTCAAGAATGTGTAGAATATTTGAGGTGCTGGAGGAGGATTCCACCGATCAGGTAATTCATAACCTTAAAACAAGTTCATTTAGTAGTGATTGGTTAGTAAAATTATATATCAGAGGTCAGCTGGTTGATTTTAAGTTAGATACAGGTGCAGACGTAAACGTTATTCCGTTAAAATTATTATCCAAATTAAGTACAAACAAAAGCGATTTGACGAGTACGAAAATTAAATTACAGGCATATTCTGGTGACAGCATTAAAGTTATTGGTAAATGTTATTATAAAGTAACTCATAAACAGAATAACTATATTTTAAAGTTCATTATTGTTGATGTTGATTCTTCGGCTATTTTAGGCAGGAATTCATGTGAGGAATTACAATTAATAAAACGAATTATGTCCGTAAGTACAGAGGATAGTAATAACAAAATTTTAAATAAATATTTGGATGTATTCACTGGATTGGGCTGTTTACCCGGTAAATACAAAATAAAATTACATAAAAATATTAGTCCTGTGGTACATGCGCCTAGAAAATTACCAATAGCCCTCAAAGAAAATGTTAAAAATACTTTATTAGAAATGGTGAACGATGGTATAATAGCGAAGGTGGAGGGGCCCACTGATTGGGTCAACAGTATGACTGTTGTCAAAAAAGCCAGTGGAGATCTACGCATCTGTTTAGATCCCCGAGATTTAAATAAGGCGATTAGGCGGGAGCATTTTAAGTTACCCACGTTTGAGGAAATTACGTCAAATTTATGTGGTGCAAAATTTTTTACCACTTTGGATGCTAAGCAAAGTTTTTGGCAAGTCATGTTACACGAGGACAGTACCGATCTATGCACGTTTAATACACCATTCGGTAGGTATAAGTTCTTACGGATGCCGTTTGGTATCTCTTCAGCGAGTGAGATATTCCACAATAGACTTTATAATCACTTTGATGATATAGAAGGTGTTATTTTGTTCGTTGACGATTTATTAGTTTATGGGGAAACCAAGGAAGTTCATGATATACGTTTAGAAAAGGTATTGCAGCGGTGTCGTGATATAAACATAAAATTAAATAGAAAAAAATGTAAAATAGGACTAACAGAAATAAAATATTTGGGACATAAAATAGCTAAAAATGGTGTGTATCCTGATGATGATCATATTAAGGCGATAAAAAATATGCCTACTCCTAAAAATAGAAAAGACATTGAGCGATTTTTGGGGTTGGTCACTTATGTAGGTAATTTTATCCCTAATTTATCGGAGAAAACGTCACTGTTACGCGAATTACTGAAGAAAGAAATTGTGTGGCACTGGGACGACAGACATGAACAGTGTTTCAGCAATATTAAACAGTGTTTAATTCGACCACCTGTACTACAATATTATAATTTAAATAAGCCAGTCACTATATCTGTAGACGCCAGTAAAAATGGTTTGGGCGCGTGTCTATTGCAAAACAATTTACCGGTATGTTATGCATCAAAATCTCTAACCAAAGCGGAACAATCATACGCACAAATAGAAAAAGAGTTGTATGCTTGTTTGTTTGCTTGCGAAAAATTCTATACATATATATACGGTAGATCAGATGTAACTATAGAAACAGATCACAAGCCGCTAGTAAGCATAATTAATAAACCTCTGTATAGTACCCCCGCACGTTTGCAACGGATGTTGTTACGTTTACAACCTTATTCATTCAATCTTGTCTATAAGCCGGGTAAGTATCTATATATAGCGGATACACTATCGCGTGCAGTAGCACCGAGTGACGGGGCGCGCGTTACACAGCGCTGTGATTACTTGGACTTGCAAGCGCAAGTGTGTGCAGTGTCTGCCAGCAACCCATTGACAGACACTCATTTTTTGCAAATACAAAAATGCACTAAATCTGATAATGAACTACAAGAATTAATAAAACTAATAAGAGAGGGATGGCCAGAACATAAACATCAGGTACAGAGTAACGTGTTAAAACCTTATTGGGATATTCGATTTGAGCTTACTGTATCATTTGGTATTATTTGGAAAGAAAATAAAGTCGTAATTCCAAAATGTATGCGTAGGGAGATGATAAAAAAAATTCATGTCGGTCACATGGGTGTAGCAAAATGTAAAATGCGTGCACGAGAAATAATGTATTGGCCTAACATGAGTGCTCAATTAGCAGATTATTTATCAAATTGCCAATCCTGTTTGACGTATAAAAAACAGAACGCCAAACAACCTTTAATTCCGCATGAATTGCCCTCCAGAGCGTGGAGTAAAGTAGGTGTCGATGTATTCCATTTCAATTCAAAATTATATTTATTAGTAGTAGATTATTATAGTAAATTTATAGAAGTGGCGAAGTTGAATTCTCTGAAGTCAAATGATGTTATTGAAAATTTAAAATTAATATTTTGTAGGCATGGTATTCCGGAGATTGTAATGTCCGACAACGGTCCTGAGTTTTCATCTAGTATTTTTAAAATTTTTTCTCGTAATTGGAATTTTCAGCATGTCACTTCGTCGCCAAGATATCCACAGTCTAATGGCCAAGTTGAAAGGTCCATTCAAACTATTAAAAATATGATGAAAAAGACAAGTCATGATCACGCTGATTTTAAATTAGCATTGTTAGAATATTTAAATACGCCTATAAGTTTCGAAATTCCTTCGCCGGCTGAGTTACTGTATAATAGAAAATTACGTAGTATATTACCTAGTTCACCAGAATTGCTGAGGCCTAAAATACATAGAAATATAGATACTAAGTTGAGAGCCCGTCAAAATATGCAAAAAATGTATTATGATCGTCAAGGATGTAGGAATTTAAAACCTTTAAGTGTAGGTCAAAAGGTTAAAATTAGAATGCAGAAACAATGGGAACCGGGCACAATAATAGATATTGCAGGTATACGTTCCTACGTTGTGCGAATGTTATCAGGGGATATTGTTAGACGCAATAGAAGACATATTATTAGCGACAGTGATCAGCGAGTCGATGACTCATTACCCTTGTGCTCGTCAAATCGTTATGATGATAGTTACAGTTCGCACACTCCAGCAACCACGTTATCAAATCAAGCCAGTGACTACAACAATGAAAATAATTCCAATGTAAATATTAATGGTCATTTTACACGTTATGGCAGGGAAGTGAGACGCCCTGATTGGTGGATAATTCCTGACAGCTGAGCAGGTGCATAGACCTACTACACAACAAACTACATACATACTATGAACCTGAATGAAAAACTGTAATTTCAAATAAAATATAATAAATTGCATGCTAGTGAAATGATATTTTGTTTTTGTATAAATGATTTTTAAGACTAATAAAATGTAAATTGATATAAAATGAATGCAATTAAATGGCAATATAAATAAATAATGTAGAATGTAATGACATTTAAATATATATGTATAACTAAGCAACATTGTTTACTAATCAATGTCATAACATTAAATTCAATTAAAACAAAATTATAAGCATCAAGTAGAGATTCTAATTGTATATGTATTCATCAATGTTGAAAATTTAAATAGCCAATGGCACTAATATGTGTTAATTAATTTATAAAGATTGTATATTATTAATATTTAATTTCTTCCATCAGTTGTGTTTATGTAATTGTGATTGGTAAGAATAAAGATGAATTTAAAAATAAATTTATATAGTAATAAAAAATAAAATATATATATATGTAGTGAAATATGGATATAAACTACTCTATTACTACTACTACTACTACTATATTACATTGTAAATACAAAATTACAAATATAAATATGTCTTAATTTTATTATGTTGAAATAATTATTAATATAATATATAAGTAAGCGTCAAAAGGTATAGATATAGATATAAATATATATGTAAATATAGATTGTGTAAATTTTTATACATACATACTTCATTTATTTTGATAAGGGGGATGTGGGTAATTGTATTATGAATATTATGTGGGTACTGTATTGCATGTTCCTTTATTAAACAGTCTCAATCAAAACGTCTTTCTGTTAGCACCTTGGTCCTGCACCTTGACATACAACAATGGTACCTGCGCTAATTACTCTGTACAAATTCTCCGTCGATATATAAATTCATAGATCATAAATTCATAGCGGTGACAATATTATCTAAGAATGTGTGCGTAGCGCTTTCCATGTTGATTATTACATGCCTCTTACTTGTTATCGTGTAATTATTTATTTAAAGTTACATTTATTCAAAAGAGCAACACACAATTTTCCTGCCTATTCTTCTTGTGATGAGTCTACGTTCCGAATGAGTGGTAGAATAAAATAAAAAATATAACTATTTAAATGTGCTTGTATTGAGTTTTTTTAATAACGATTAATTCTATTTCTATTAATGGGATAATGAAAGTAACTATGAAGAATACAACAACACACTACCCGTTGGAAATACCATAGCCAAGTACTATCCGCTTTGTTAACAAATTCATATATACTGCGAAATGGATGTAACAAGATTCCGGCATGTATTTTATAGTGTTATTGCTGCCAAGTTGCAATTACGCCAGACACCCGCCATTTTACAGCTCTATATGAATGTTTGTCGGTATTTTAGCAACTTTATGGAACACATAGAGTTCAATGCTACCCTGAAAATGAGTTCTTTTACTTTTTTAGTTGAAAAATGTAATGTGCATAAAAGAACAAACGATTCATTGGATGAGCACAGATTCTTTTACTAGCTAGCTAAAAACCTCAATATAAACATTATATAAAACCATATAAAATTCTATTTAACTATATAGTATCCGTATTGCTCTTTTATATAACTTCAATTTCAAATTCAAATTTTATATAAATTCAATCGAAATGAAAAAGTTATATTTTTTTTTTTTTTGTATAGAAAAATTCAATTTAAATAAATTGTTATCATTATTTGCATGCAATACGAGTCTTGGTTTCAATTTTAACTCAAATAAAGTTGATATTTATTGTATTAATTTATTTAATTAATTTTTAAATTACAAATAGGCATTGTTATTTTGTCTTTCTCTTAAAATTGTTTGTCATTTAGACCTTAATTAAATTACGAATATTTTGATACCCTGATCCATTCCTGTCATAAAAACTTTTTAATTTTATAATGTCTTCGAACTCAAAAGAAATCTTACATTAAGTCATACAAGTCAAAACTATTAAAATTACGCTATTATTGTTAATAAAAGTATTGAAATACACTGTATTAAATAAATTTGTTTATAAATTTACAATAATACATTTTTTTACACAAAATTTATAGCCTATGTGTTATTCTAATGTATAAGCTATATTATTGTTAAGTTTCAATAAAATCCGTTCAACAGTTTTTCATGAAAGAGTAACAAACAACCATCGATCTGTACTCACAAACTTTCGCGTTTGTAATATTAGTAAGATATGTGAACTCATAAGAAATCTTACATTAGTCTTACAAGTCAAAGCCAGCAGTAGGCAGAAATTATGCTATAAAAATAAACAAATTCGTTATATCACAGCATTATTTTTTTTAATTCTTACAGGTTAGTACACACAGGTAATAATAAATTTGTTTTCATCTCATTTTAGTTGAATTATCCTCATGATAATTCAACTAAAATGAGATGAAAACTGCTTTTATCTAAAACTATAGCATATTTAATTAACGTTTAATACGCTTAATTAATCTTGAATTGATTAATTAATCAGTATAACAATAGTACATTGCCATCAATAATCTATATTGCACAGCTTGTTATTGCGTCCTTATTCATAAGGATCCTATCCTAAACTAACAAACCCCTAGTAGAGAACCCTCTCCTTGTTATCGTTGGTTTAATTGCTGCTACCATGTGTCTAAGCAACCCTAATGTAAAGTCAGTGCTATCATAATAGACCCGTATTGGTATACTAGTTGTAGCCTACGGACCTGAATGCGTTTACAATGAGAAGTTAAATGGACGAGTGAGTTATGTTTACTTGTACAACACATAAGATAATATTACATTATTGTATATCCTAATATTATAAATGTTAAAAGGAATTTAATTAATTTAGTTACTGTTTCAAATCTAAACAGCTTAACTAAACATTATTAATAGTATCGGTGGTATAGCAATTTAACACACTGCCTCACTTCCGATGATCGCGGCTTCGATTCCTCGCATAGTGCAAACATTTGTATACATGAGTATGATCGTTTGTATTGGTCTGGATCTTTCCAATGTATAGTATTTATAATAATAATAATAATAATAATCTCAGGACAATTCACACAGCGCCATCTAGACGCAAGTTAAGCTAGCTAAAGCTTGTGTTATGGGTCCTAGACAACTGATACAAATACATAGATAATTTTTTTTTCGTAAATACTTATATATTATACATAGAAAATACCCAGACCGATACAAACAATCATACTCATGAATACAAATGTTTGTGCCGTGCGAGGAATCGAACCCGCGACCATCGGACGTAAAGCGGTGTGCTAGACCGCTAGACCACCGAGGTCGT